AGCAAGGAGACAGCAGACAGGAGGAAAATTAAGAGAAAAATAGGTAATTATCTTTTAAAATAGAAATTTATGAATAAAATGGCAGCACTTGAGCAAAGAAAGCAAGAAAAGCATGACCAGTTTCTGAAATTTCTTGGCTCTACTAGAATGGACATCTGGACTAAACTATGGTTAAATTCATCCAGATATTTACTGAGAGCCTTATATTTGCACTAACTGGCAGTAAGACATTGAACAATAGATAGCCAGGTCTTAAAACAAGAAAAGCGTGAGTGAGAGCAGAGGCCACCAGTTTCTGAAATTTCTTGGCTCTACTAGAATGGACATCTGGACTAAACTATGGTTAAATTCATCCAGATATTTACTGAGGGCCTTATATTTGCACTAACTGGCAGTAAGACATTGAACAATAGATAGCCAGGTCTTAAAACTGTTAGCTAAATAACATTAGAAAAAGCAAAAGTATCTTGTAATTTGAGAGCACGTGATTTTAATTAAAAACCCTAAAATAACAACTTTGGCTGTCCCAGAGCCTTTAAAAATAAATTATGTCTCCTATCCTCTACCATCAGCCTCATCAGGGCCCCAAGCCATCCATGAGCGACTGCTCATTCCCTCACTACTAGGAAGCAGCTATTCTGTGCCAAACCCACTGGGGCAGGTTCTGAAGGATCCCTCACCACTTCAACTCATTTTTTGTCCCTGCTTCCTGCTGCAACAGCACACACATCCTTGTCTGATATTGCTGGCTTTCATCTAGACTCCAGCAGGTGTGAGAGAGTCACTGAGGTAACTGTTCAGCCATTGGAGATTACTGTTTCCATTTCTGGTGCAAGTAATTGGCACACGAGTTTGACAAAACACACATTCCATTCAAGGGAGCTGAGCTGACTGAGTTACCTGTGGCAGAAAACACACAAAAGGATGAGTAGAAGAAAGTACATTTCCAGTGAAGCCACTGTCATGCACCAGGCTTTCGACACTGTAGCTGTATTTTGAAGATCCCTGCATATTCTCACCTTCCAGATTATCTTAAATCAGGCTCCACTGCATCGAAGACAGAAAAAAATCATCTTCGTGGATCAGAGTAGAGGAGAAGTCGGGATCCTCTCTGCAGATGGAACAGGGAGACCAGCAACAGCAAAGCCCTCTTAGGCCTTCTCTCTCACAGCTGCCCTCGGTCTCCAGCGACTCGAGGTTGGATGCTGCCATCTGTTGACAACTTCCCACTGCAACAACAAATAGGTATTTCCCCTCAGTGCACACCAGGCCGTTTGAAAGTTTTACTGCTTACACAACGGCACCGTGAGCAACGACAATGGGCATCCCGAAGTACTGCCCATACATCTGACTGCAGAAGTCAGCCCAAGCTGTACCCCACGGGCAGGTTACCAACCTTCTCCCAACTATTTCTGATATAACAAGTGATTTTCACAACTCAACTCAAACTGAGTTCTGTTTCACCATCTGTGACCAGGACTACTGATGCTTACCTTTGTGTGCTGTGCTCAGCAGATAGCAGGGATATGGGCAGTGTAGCATCACCATACACCATTGTCCCAGTCTGAGTTAGAACAGAACTAACTCTGCCCACGGATTTTACTTTTCAGCTCAGCCTCTTCTAATGGCACTTTGTGGCGTTAACAGCACATTCTCAGTGTCTGCTTCTAGCAGTGGTGACATTCCACGTTTAGTTACTAAGGACTGGTGTGTGCAGAAAAGCTCTTATCCTTGCTCCTGTGCAGACCAAAGTCACTGTGAAATTTTGTGAGCCACACTGGGGGTGCAGAAAGTAAAAGGCCACACCTGTGGGAGGAGTGGATAGGACAGATGACCTCGAACTGACCAGTGAGGAATTCCATCCTAGATATGCCATATTCAGTATATAGCGCTGAGGGATCATGAGGGTCAAGCCTCTTCTTCAACAGCCAGCATCCAAGGACAAGCCCAACCCATGCTCTCATAAATCCAGCTCCAGATTTGTTCCCATCTGCTGCTGAGTCACTCCACAGCACAGCAGCTGGCCAAGTGGCCATACTTACAGACCTAGGTGTTCAGATTTGGCTTAGCAAGTACAAACAGACCGCCAGCCAAAAGACTCCTCTCTACATCAAGAAGGGTCTGGAGATGACACAATCACTTCCAGACTTGCTCAGGTTTAGACTACAGGGTACACAGGAAAGCACCAGAGGTAAAACTTGGTAATCTAGGGGTTTTCAGCAGACGCTTTTCCCAGGTGTCACCCACCCTCCAAGGTTTCCCCACATGAAGGTCAAGTGCCTCCATCACTAACATCCCTCTCTGCTCCACAGGCACTCAACACCTTCTCTAGCACTTTGCCACGACTGCCAGTAGCAACCTATAGCTCACTTTCAGCTATGTGCCATTTTCCCCTCTCCCGAATAACCATTTTATTACCCAAATGATGGTTAGCTTTTACCTACAAAATGCTTTCTCAAGGAACATACCCTCAGCTCTCAAAACATTACTGAAGCTTAAAAAAAAATACTGCTTTCAGATTTTAAACATGCCTGACAATGAGAATTTCTGCAAACCTATTTAAAGCAGTTGTGTGGCAGGGCATGTCATAATCCTGCATGTCAATTCAAAGTCCCACTTCAGAAGTTCCTTGGATCTCAGCCACCAATGACTGCCCAGGAGTAAAGCTCTTGTCAATGAGTTGCAAGTTCTAATATCCATCTTAGGAATTTGGATCAGCTGTATCAGCTCCCACGTGTGTGGTTACACAAATGTAGTTGCATTTGCTGGACACACTGTGGAAAAGGTGCATCTGCTTCCCTCCATGATTCTTTTTACATTGGAGCTCTAGTTTCCATTTAATAATTCTACAAAAGTTGTTGAGCTGGCTTATGAAATAAATTAACAACAGTTCATTCCCAACTAGTCCATCAACTGAGAGTATCAGAAATCCTTACTTCAGAAGTCCCTGTGGTAGTTAAGGACATACACAGGTAAACCAGTGCAGAAAAACTGAGCTGTGTCCTCTTTGTAATTGGTTTAAAACATGAATGACAAACTACCAGGGAACTCAAAGCCACAGTAAATTAATATAAAGGAAACCTCCAAGTGTCACTGACCTTCTTCCATCAGCTATTAGAAACGTGTCCTGCTCTAGGCTGGCAAAACCCAAGATTTTACACAAAAGAACAGTGAGTTCCTCTAGGGTTACCCTGAGCAAGAAGTACAAAAGCTCACATGTGTATCGGGACTTAGTACTGCAGAACTAACTCCATGAAGTAAGGAAACCTTCAAGTGTCACTGACCTTCTTATTAGAAACGTGTCCTGCTCTAGGCTGACAAAACCCAAGATTTTACACAAAAGAACAGTGAGTTCCTCTAGGGTTACCCTGAGCAAGAAGTACAAAAGCTCACATGTGTATCGGGACTTAGTACTGCAGAACTAACTCCATGAAGTATAGAAAAAAAATCCCTGTAACAAAGCAGCTTAATAAAAAAGGCCAGTACAGACTTTGACCTCATAACTCCTCTTTGCAGTTCAGTGTACAGATCTTTGTCTTCAGCAAAGCAGATGTTTCCAATCAAACTGAGAACCACACTGATGGCATGTGCCTGTTTTGACACCATCTGCAATCCACCCTTAGCCAGCGAGTGACTGAGACAGAAGAGGTCACCCAGCCTTTTGGTTTGCGCTAGGGCCGCGGGTCACACACCAGCACTCGCTGCAGGCTCCTCCACGGCCACCGGGCGCCGCTCACTCCTCAGAGCAGCCGCCACGCCAGGCGGGACTGTGCTGGCCCTCCACAGGCAGGTAACACCCGTTTGCTCAGCAGTATCAACACCTCCTTTTCTCCATAAAAACATAAGACTGAACTGAGACACGTTACAGTTAGAAGTTGAAACACTGTGCCTGAAGATAGTAATTCCCATCCTAAGGCTCTCTGAAAAGCTCCGTGATGAAGCATCACCTTCAAGGCACAATAACTCAAGCAACTGTACCTATCAAGTATCAGGACATAACACCACTGACAATTGTCTCCAACTCCTTCTGTCAGAACCACAGTCAACAGCCATTTTTAAGTGGCTGAAACAGCCTTGTTATGTTTCAATAGGCTCCTTCCTAACAGACTCTGAAGTACAAAGCAAGGGATTTCCAGCTGCTGTTAAAGGACAATGCCATCAGCCAGAAGCTTGCTTCCTATCTGCACCACCCACAAGTATCTCTTCAGCTGCAGTCATCTGCTGTGTACTGCCTTCAAATAAAGTATTTTTCTGTATCATGTACATCATGCTGTCATGCGTCAGATTCCTGAAACAAAGGCCAACAACTCATCCAATACTAAATATCCACTACCTGTAGGTTCAGATAGCTTCATTTCCTCAGTCCAAAAACTTAGGAAATCCCAGTTACATCTTCATGACAACATGCAGCAGCTGCACAGCAACTACCCTGTCCAAAACTGATGTTTCAAAGGACTTTCAAAGTAGAATTTGAAAAAAAAAAAAAAAAAAAAAAAAAATTATTCCACTCTCTACCTGTTACTCCATGTGCTGCAAGATGTGGAACAAGTTTGAACTGAAATCAATCTTCAATCATCTTAATTATTCCACAATTCCACATCTCATAACTTTTTAAATCACAAAAATGAAATCCCTTCTGGCAAGGCATCTTATATTTTTAGCCAAAAGGTGAAACTATAGTCATGTACATGTAACTAGGGAGACACCCACATTGAACACCTAGGAGGCAGTCCCAATGCACGAAGCCGAGCACGTAGCTGAAGATCAGAGCTCCCCTGCTGAGGCAGTTCTGCAGGGCGACCTGTAACTGTCACTCAAGTGGTAACTACTGAAGGTACGTTATTAACAGAAATAAAACGTAACCAGGGACGGTGAGGAACCTGAACATGACTTGGTGCAAAGCTGGAAGGTAAGTGCTACAGAAGAGCTGTCTGTTAGGAGCACTGTCACAGTGCCCTACTGTTCAAAGTCATTCAAATACTGACTGGAAGCAGCAGAAGTCCATTTGAACAATTTATTAGTATCCTCTTTTTTTTTACAAGTTTTAGAAAAAGAATCCCAGGATTTTGCCTCCTGTGTGTTTTCGCCTAGCCTCCTCGTGGTCCATGATGCCAGCTGAGGTTGTCAGCACTATGTACCTGTTAAGAAAGAACAAACATTCAGCTTATTGTTTTGTTCCATGCTCGTGCAGGGCTGACAGCACTAACCTCATTCCTCTTATAACACATCTGTTTCTGTAGAAATGGGCCCAATGAAAGCCCAGGCAACCAGACAACAGAACAGCAGCTGCCCTCAGGAGCACAGCCCTGCAGCACAGGAAGGAGGCCCCGGGGCTCCGGCCCCCAGGCACCTGTGTAGGTCTCAGCAAGCTCCCTCGCACAGCCCCGCCCCGAAGCCAGTCCTGCTGCGGCAGCAGCACCCGCTCTGGAGCTCCAAAGTCTGCCTCTATTTTAAGCAGCCATTTTTCTTCAGAGCAGGTAGTTGCCATGGTGCCAGACAGCTCCTCAAGTGTGAGCGCTTTGTCTCCCCGTGTTTTGAACACTGTGCACTGATGCAGATGAGTATCTGCATCAGGACTGACAACTGAAGCAGCCTTAGTCATTGCTACTGCCAACATTTGGATTATCAGCATACTTCATCCACACAGCTTCGTGTCTGAGAACCTCCTGTCCCACCACACTACAAATACTCTTAAAAATATGACAATGACACTAGTAAGCTATGTGGATACAGCTAAAGCAAGCAGCTTATGGCAGCAGCTTTCCAAACAGAACTGCCAAGGAACTGTTAATCCTGCCGGGATTTGTCAGGACAGACTGGCTGAGCCCCGAAGCCTCTCCGAGACCTGTCACCCAGGAGCACCCAGACTTGGTGCACTTGGCTCAGTGAATTTTGGGAAGCAAAAATATACCACGTAATAGCAAGATCGTCTGGGTTGTGGTTTGATTAACAGAGGCTTCAAGTCTCTCATCACCTAAAATCTAATTAATTGACACAAAATCAGAAAGTTTAATTTAAAGTAGTGCAACCTATTTCCACTGACCTGGTAAGTTACATGATTGTTCCCCCATCTTTACACAGACATAAATAAAATTAAAATGAGTAAGAGAGAAAGTCCTGTTTTCCCAGTAAACTGTAGAAACAGTGAAACTAGGATTTACCAAAGCCAAGCAGATATAGGCCCTTGCTTAGCAGTGCCCCTTTAAAACTGGTTAAAGAGAGCATTTATATGGAAGATAGATTCTTGGACTGGTATTTAGCTCCAGACTGATGAGAGAGGAAAGGTGTCAGGCAGTACGAAAGAGCATTAAAACCCCCACATTTGTACATATGGCACGGACTTCACTCTCCTCCATACTTACCCAAACTGACGTGAAGGCAGTAGGTTGTTCTGCCACTTTTCCAAATCCTTCAGCTGAACATCAAATCTGGGACTGATTACACCACACTATAAAACAGAATTCCATTACAAACTGAAGAAATTCATAAACTGCATTTGCACACCTATCACTGTCCAGTCCACTGGCTGAAGGAGTTTAACAACTGCAATTAGGCTACTTTGGGCACCAAAGACTCAAGTCCCCAGAAGCACACTCTTACTCAGAGTATGCAACAGTGCTTCCTCGTGGAGTGGAAACTCTCACACAGCTTCCAGCTGCTGGTTCCTTAGCCCTGCCTCCTCCTCCTCACTTAAACAGAGGACTGCCACTGCTGCTGAAGCTAAACTAACAAATTAATGGCCAGACCTGGGAAAGCACAGAAGCACGCTATAAACCACTGAAGATTAATAAAATCCGATATAAAATAAATATATAAATAATATCTAAGTAATATAGAAATCCTATATAAAATACATATATAAATAATATAAATATGTATAAAATCCTATATCCTCAATTAACCTGCAATTACTCAGGGATATTTCACTTCTAATCACCACACATACTTTGCAAAGAACACCTGTAGATTTTGAACAGGAGAAATTAACTGCAGAAAAGTTGCTGAAGTTTCCACTTTTACTGCCTACTGACCAGGACCACCACTACCAGCACCAGCTACCTCCATGGCCATTATCTTTGTAAATACCCAAGAGCAGAAGGGAAGCACAGGTTCCTGCACTGAGCCAGGCTTTCAGAATGGAACAACCCTCCCCCTATTGCAGCTACTGGGAGAAACATCACATCCCTCTGCACTCCCCAAGGTCTGTTACAAAATAACCCTGGAAGACCTGAAGGAACACCATACTCAAACCCAGCAGACCTTACCTTTGTTACAGACACAGAGCACTAATACCGTGGGTGGTGTCAGAATTCTCTGCCTATTACACTCCAGCAATCTCCACCTACAGTATCTGTTCATCACAAAGACAGCCCCCAACATATTCAGACTTCTTCAGTACTGAACAGCCAAACAATGATGCACAACAAGGCATCACAGAACTAGACAGCTCAGTGTTTTGAGACAAGCACGTTTTAAAAAGTTTCCAAAGCACACATGAATACTTCATATGCCCCAGGAGCTTAAAAAGCACAAATTAACATAAAATTCAACTTTCCCTCAGCTGCAAGCAAAGCCCACCCAGCAGCAGCAAAAAGGATTCCCTTCTCAACATGCACATCATCAGTTGTTAGCCATCAGCTGGAAAGCAACTCGGTTCCTATCTCTTAAGACAAGCCTTCTAACTCGCTTTAACATCAACCAAGCTGAAAAGTCACAAGGCAGACAGAAAGCCTTTAAGCAGAGAGAAAAAGAGCATTTGTAAGCAGATTTCCCTGAAAATGCCTTAGATATCCAGAGTTTAAAGAAATTTTATTAGTTAAATCTAGAAAAAAATAATATGCATCTAATAGTCACTGATAATACCTGTATTGGTTTCATTTACAGGAACTCAATTAATACCTTCTTTGGAATTCAGTGTTTCAGAACTGGGGTAGGCAAAGAGAATCCCAGCATGGTGGGGGCTGGAAGGGGCTGCTGGAGATCATCTCGTCCAACAGCCTGCTAAAGCAGGTTCACCTCCAGCAAGCTGCACAGGAACTGGTCCAGGCAAAACATAAAAAAACCCCAAATCCTTATTTAAGCACGTTCATAAAGAACTAATTCAGGAAGACAAATCCTACCTTGTTCAGTCTGCCTGTTAGATTGACAACAATCTTCCCAGCTCTGTGATCATCAATTATCTCAAATTCACCGATGTAACCTACAAGAGATTAGCAAACAAATCAGACATAACACTTAGCTCCACGGACACAACCCAGCTAACCACGCTGTAAGAGTTGTGCCAGCTGAAGCACCTTGCTGAACTTTCACTCAAGAAGCACCAGCAGGCAGGAGCAGGCAGGAGCAGGCAGGAGCAGGCAGGGGCCGGGGGGAGGCGCCGCACACTCACCGTGCTTCATCATGACGGTGAGGAAGCGCACGATCACCTTGGAGCAGGGCCTGATGAGCACCTGCCGCTTCCCGCGCTTCTCGGCATTGTTGATGCTTTTCAGCGCGTCGGCGAGAACGTTCATGCGCACCATGGTGCCTGGGGGGACAGGGAGAGGCTGTCACCGCACCGGCCTTTCACTGCAACGCTGAGCAGCACGAAAACATCTAAGACTGACAGGAAGTGGCACTACATCTTAGCAGGTATTCCTGGACTAAAAATCAGACCAAGTCACAGCCTCGGGTACCCTCAGGAGCATTCACAACTGCCACAAGAAGTCAGGAAATCCGACACACTTATACTTGGTTTTGTCAACACACACACACACGAAGATTTAAAACCCACCCTCCGGAGAGCGTTTCATCTATATGACAGCTTTCCCAGGTGAATCGTTTTCGACTTTAAAACCCAACTAGGCAGTACTAGCCATGTTCAAAACCAAGTGACACACAGCATTAAACATAACAGGTGCTACTCGGCTCGCAAAAAGAATTGTAGGATGCAAGCCCAGCACAGCACTGTGGAAAGGAAACCTGGCATCAACTCTCGTTCTCATAAAGACAAGACCATCCAGGCTACCCCATGACACGACTCGGTACGGTCCCCACTCGCTAGTGGAGTCGGTACACCGGCAGCACCAGCCGGGAACGCGCTCCTGCCCTGC